AATATAAATATATCTATACATATGTATACACACACACACACACACACACATATATATATAAATTGAATTTTGGGAAACTTTAATGGTGCTGTCAACTTTGGAAAAAGTTATCCCAATTTACTGTGTTGAGTTGTACAGAAATGGACAGCCATATTGGTCTAGAAATGTTAATTTTTTAAATTTTAATTTTTAATTTTTTTTATTTATACGGGGGTAGTGCACTATACTAAATATGTAAGGCCATATCTATGTGGGTTTGATTACAGAAACTAATAAAGTATTCTCTAAATAATGAAAAAAAGAATAAGATAAGACTACAAAAGCAAGAAGCAATTAAATATGTTAAGGGACCATTTTCATCTTCAGAATTAAGGATTATTTTAATTTTACATCATTGCCTTTTCTCTTTAACTTTGCTTTTTAGTTTTATTTTAGGATTCCCTATTTTTAATGTTCATACAGAGATTTTTTTTAACTGAAATACTGAATAGTTTCTCTGGTGTGAAAAACTATAATAGTACACAGGATCCTAATGAGACAATTAATAATGTGAAATAGGAAGTAAAGGGCTAAAGGTGTAGGGAAAGTGGATAGGGTGGGGGAAAGGTAATAAGGGAGAGGAAAATAATATGAGAAACTGAAAAAATGGAAATAAAGTGTCTGTAAATGCGGAGGGGAGGAGGGAGTGAAGGGAGAGCAGGAACAAGGGGAAAAAATGAGAATCAAGACCTATTATGTAAAGGTACAGGATCCCTATGGTGAATGTAACTTTATTGTATACCTAGATTGTACCAAAAAACTCAATAAAAAGAAAAAAAATTAAAAACAGTAGGAGATCATGAGAAATTGATACAACAACTCTTAGATGATACTAAGAAGAATAACCTAAGATTGATAGGAATTCAAGAAGTAATAGGAGAAAATCTAAATGACTTAAAAAAGATGTTCACAAAATTAATTATAGAAAACTTCTCAAATAGAGGGCAAGAGTTTGACATACAGATAAGTGAGGTATATAGGACTCCAACTAGCCACAATAAAAAAAAAATCTACACCTAGACATATAATAATCAAGATCCCAGAAACCCAACAGAAGAACAAAATACTATAAGCAGTAAGAGACAAGAAACAAATTATATGCAAAGGAAAGCCTATCAGAATTATAGCAGACTTTTCAATACAAACCCTTAGGTCAAGGAGAGCCTGGAGTGAGGTATTTCATGTACTAAAAGAAAACAAGCTCCAACCTAGACTGATATATCCTGCAAAACTTTCTTTTAAAATGGATGGGGAAATAAGATATTTCCAGGATAAAGAACACCTGAGAAACTTTATGAATACCAAACCATCACTACAATGAATTCTAAACAATATCTTAGAAAAAGACAATGAAGGTAACAACACAATCAAATAGGCAAGCCAATAAACTAAAAGGAGAAGGTGAAAACAACAGCAACAACAACATGATAATAATAAGTTAGTACATATCGGTTATAACCATCAATATTAATGGCCTCAATTCACCAATCAAGAGAAATAGACCAGCAGAATGGATTAAGAAGCAAGATCCAATAATATGTTGCATACAAGACATGTCTAGTGTAAAAAGAAGCCCATAGACTAAAAGTGAAAGGACAGAAAACTTCTTCATGTAACAGGAGCCCCCCCCAAAAAAGCAAGGCTAGCAATCTTATTCACAGACAAAGTAAGTTTCAAACTTAAACTGATTGAAAGAGACAAAGAAGCTCACTACATCCTTGTGAAGGGAACAATTCAAGAGGAAGAGATAACAAATAATTTATTTTTAATTTATTGAGTATGTCAGAAAGTATATATGCTTTTTTTTTCTCTTTTCTTCTTTTCTTCCTCTTTCTTTTTCTTCTTCTGATGGTGGGGATTAAATTCGGCACATTGTTCTGGCTAGGCAGGTGCAGCACTATTGAGCTAAATCTCAGGCTTCACATTTTATATTTTAAAAATTTATCAATACATTAATCATTGTCTCTATATGTTGGTCTACCAAATTGATGAGTTATTTTGGTTCTCATTTTCTTTGCTTTTTTATTTGAGGAATTTATGAAATCTGTATATATGAGTAGTACGAAAAGTATTAAGGCCCATCTTTCATTTTCCTCTTTCATCTCTGCTTTCTACAAACTTCCTTTTCTGTCACTCCAGCTTGTTTGGTTGGAAATTTGTTAAAATAAATGTTGTTATGTTATCAATATATCTTTGTACCTATTTTCTATTGATGATGAATATTAATTTTTAAGTAAATTTTATAATAACTATACTTAATCATTAATATCATTTAGTATCTGATACATATTATGAATTCTCCAACTCCTTCAAAGATGATATTTGTTTTTTCTCAAATTATATAAATCACCAACATTCCACACATCACTGCACTGTTTTATTATACCTAAGTATATATTGTATTGTAGAAAATATGCATTGTGTATATGTGTGGGGGTTATGTTTTTACATATACGTGTGCACTATTAAATGAGAAACATGGGCATGGATGTGGTAGGATTGTGCACATTTGGCATATTGATAGTTTCTCTGGCAACCTTATGGTTTCTTTAAATTACATGCTTGACTTCATAGTCATTCAATTGGGAAGAATATTACATATCTGTTGGTATTAAATTATATCATTATGCTTATAAAATATAATAAAAATAAGTATGGGATATAATAGAATAGAAACAGAAAAATCTGATCTTAAAATGTGAATTTTTTTTAGTTGCTTTTGGATTTCAAATATAGTATATTTTTTTCTGTGGGAAGTTTTGTTAGAAAATGTAAGTGGTACAATCAACAAGTATATGATATTTATCAATTAATTAAACCAAGGAATTTATAAATCATAAAATTTTGAGTACAGTTTCTCAACTATAATATGTAACTTTGTTTTACTTATAATTACATTATTTCAAAAACATTATAAGAAAATGAGAAAGAACATAATGTTTGAAGATCATATAAAACTAATGTATTTCGATTAGTTTGTGTTACATAAATTCTTGTTTATCTCATATCCTTTTTTGCTGTATATATAGTTGTATTTGAAATTTTTATTTAGTATCTTCATTTCTTGTTATCGTGTATCTTTGCAATATTTAATAAAAAAAGCTTCCAAAAAAAATCAGACTTCCCAAATATAAAGATCCAATTAAAAAATGGGCATCTGAAATGAACAAACACTTCTCAGACAAAGAAGTAGAAACAACAAATAAACATATCAAAAAAAGTTCAGTGTGTCTGGTCATTAGAAAGATGCAAAGGAAAACAATATTGAGATTATAGCTCACTACGGAAAGAATGGCTGCTATCAAGAAATCAACCAATAACAAATGATGATGGGCTTTTGGGGGAAAAAGAACGCTTCTCCACCTATGGTGGGAGTGTAGACTGGTGCAGACACTGTGGAAATCAGTGTGGAGATTGCTCAAAAAACTAGTATTAGAGGCTCCATTTGATTCAGCTATTTCCCTGATAGGTATCTTCCCTAAAGAATTCAAAGCTCCATACCACAGCAATATATGCACACTCATGTTTATAGTCATACTGTTTGTAATAGCTAAATATTGGAAACAGCCCAAATGTCTGTCAATTGTTGACTGAATAAAGATGTGTTCTTTTTTCATAAAATGAAGTAATACTCAGCCTTAAAGAATGATTCACTAGAGACATTTATAGCTAAATGGATGGATCTTGAGGCCATACTCTTAAGTGAAATAAATAGCACACACATGTGTGAATATGGAATAGTTTCTCTGGTGTGAGAAATGAAGTCTAAATGAGGAGCAAAAGGTATAATGGATAATGTGAAATAGGAAGAAAAGGTCCAAAGTGGAAGGGGAAGTAAGGTGGAGGGGTAGGGGAAAGGAAAGAAGGGAGAGAAACAATACAAAAAAGAAGGAAAAAACAGAAACAAAGTTTTTGTAAATAGGGAGGGGTGCAGGGATGTAAGAGTGGGAAGGGGAATGGGGAAAAAACAAGAACCAAGATATATCACGTACAGGTACAAATTCCCAGTGATGAATGTGATCGTAATGTATACCTAAAATGTACCAATAAACTTAATGACTAAAAAATATGTCTGAAGGTCATTGGTGCTGATAGAGGAATCTGCCCAATAGTACAAGTCGGCCACAAAGTGGGGAGGATTCCTGATGCATGGATGAACTCATTCATCACAGTGATAGCTTCACAGAACTGCAAAGATTTCCACTACCCTGTATATGCTTATGAAGAAGTACTCCCAGGCGTATTGAACATACATTTAATATGGTCTTATATATGCTTGCTACCATTTTAACAGCTATTAAAGTATAGTAACTGTTAAGTAATTGAAGAACCTGAAGTAACAAACCATGAAGCAGGGGAGACTGGGTCCGAATAAGTGTGTGGGGGTCAAAGTGCTGTGTGTATGCGTGTTTTGGTGTAAAGTAAACCATAAACAAACATTCTTAATAGTGAGCATCTGTGGATATAAAGAATCCGTGAGCCCGTGAGATAACTGATAAACTGTAGGGAGAGCTTTGCCCAGCATACGCACAGGTCCATAAAGAGATGAAATTTTGAAAAATCCCAGTGTGAGGGAATTCCAGTTTAGATTCTTCGTCTCGTCCGTATATGCGAATAACTCACGTGCTCACATTCAAATATGGAGATAAGGCAAAATAAAAAATGCAAATCAAATGTCAATTTGAATGTAATCTCTTGGATTTCAGCGGCTCCTTCACCACCAGTTACAGAACTCTTGAGGTTGCTGTGAATGCAGGGCATAGTGCCTGGAGGAGCATCTGCTGGGCTGTCCTGGACATGCAAGGTTTTTCTGAAACAAGCTGTGGTTCATGGCATGTGTGTGTGTAAGTTTTAACGGCAGTATGTTATGAATATTTCAAGAATAAGATAAATTGCATGAAATTGATAGATTAAGGGATCTCCAGCAATAATATCAGCCATAGGGTCTTTTCTGAGAGACAATGAATGGAGTCATACAGAGCTTCCTATCAATCATTTTAAGTGTGGAATGCATAATAGGGAATCTAGGAAATGGATTCATAGCACTGGTTAATTGCACGGACTGGGTCAGGACGACAAAAATGTCTTCAGTTGATCGAATCCTTACTGCTTTGGCAGTCTCCAGAATTGTTCTTCTCTGGTTGACATTCATAGATTGGTGGGTAACTGTGCTTAACCCAGCCATGTGGATGAGTGAAAATATGTCGAAAATGATTTGTATTTCATGGACAGTGGCCAATCATTTTGGTATCTGGCTTGCTACCTGCCTCAGCATCTTTTATTTCCTGAAGATAGCCAATTATTCTAACTCCATTTTTCTTTACCTAAAGTGGAGAGTTACAAAGGTGGTTTCAGTGACTGGGATGATGTCTCTGGTTCTCTTGTTCTTAGAAGTTTTACTGATGAATATATATGATAACGTGTTTGCTGAATATCAAAGAAACATGTCTTATACTTCCAATCTGACTATCTCTGTACACTGTAACAACCATCCTTTATTCACTCACATTTTATACATGCTCGTGCCCTTCGCTGTGTCCGTGACAACTTTCCTGCTGCTCATCTTCTCCCTGGGGAAGCATCTGAAGAGGATGCAGTGCAGTGCCCGAGGGTCCAGAGACGCCGGCACCACGGCCCACATGAAGGCCTTGCGAACTATGGTCATCTCTCTGTTAATGTATACCAGTTTCTTTTCGTCTTTTTTGGTTCAAGTTCATAACCCTAAAAATCAAATATTCTCCGCTTTCCTGGAAGCTGTCATAATAGCTTTTCTTTTGGTCCATTCATTTGTCTTGATTCTGGGAAGCAGTAAGCTGAGACAGGCTTTTCTTTTAGCGCTGAGGTGGCTGAGGTGCCGGGCCAGAGATGTGGAACTCTCCAATCCACAGACCCTTTCAGGGATCATCTTGCATGTTCTAGAAGAAAATCAGATCACACATTATCCAGGTTGCTAAGAATTTGTACTTTTCAAATATTCATATTTTACTTAACTCTATATTTTATTTAACTGTTTATTTTACAAAAGTATATTTGGAATTAGATCTAAATAGTTTACAATCTCATGAGTAGAATACACAAATAAATACTACCAGATTTATACAACAAGTGCATCAATGTGCGACTCTTACATGTAAGACATTTTGTAGTAAAAAATAATACAATGTTTGTGAGATTATTTCAAATTTAAAAATGAGAAATCTGCAATATGTAAGAAAAAACTGTGTGTACCCATGTTGGACATGATTCCTCAAAATAGAACTTCCTAATTTTATATGCCATGAATTTCTTTCTTTCTTTTTTTTTTGAGACAGGGTCTCACTATGTAGTTGAGACTGACCTGGAACTCACTAGGTAGCCCAGGCTGGTCTCAAACTCACAGAGATCCTCCTGCCTCAGCCTCCCAAGTGCTGGGATTACAGACGTGTGCCACCACCCCCAGCAATAAGTTTCTAGTGTATAAATTCTTAAAATATTTAAAATTTTAAAAATAGATTAAGGTCAAAAAGTGAGAGAAAGAAAAGGAAACATGATTATACACCCTGTGTTTAATGTTGTTGTATATTCAGTGAGATTAAATCCTACATATTTTCAAATTAGAGAAATTTTTATTCATACTTATTTTCACAAAGACATGCTTTGAACTGTGAGATTTGTATTTGATACCAAGTTTTTGTTCTCCTAATGAGTCTTATGAATTGATGTATTTGTTCAACAATTATATTACGATCTTTTTTCTGTCTTTTGAAAACATTTGAAGAAAAACATGACATGAAATAAAAGATAGGCATCTCTAATGGGTATCCCCTAAAGAAAATATATTGTATTATTTAGGCAGTGGTTGACCTCTGTGTCTCCTAACTTCTAAGTACTCACAAAGCTGTAATAGTATCATGTGAATTTACTGAGATTCTGAGATAAGATCATAAGATAAGACTTGTGCAGTAGGGCGTGAAGATGCCATCACAGAGCCAGAGAAACAATCACCAGACAAGGGAGACCCTCTTCAAATTCAAATGAAGCATCAAACATAAAAACAATTCTCTCAGAAACATAAGATTGTGGTGGTAAAACCACATAAAAGAAAGTGTATTTTTTTCTGATATTCGATGTTCTTAATTTTTTTCTGATATTTGGCATCTGGTTAATGCATATACATTATAGTAACATTTATAATTTAGAATTTATAATTCTATTTTGACCTATGTTGACTTATATTAACAAATGGCTCAAGCATTCAAAAGGGTAAGTAATTGTGGCTTTTATTCCATCTTTGTTTTTAAGTGGACGGTTTGCTGATGGTTCACCCATAAGCAAAATATTGATGTTGATGTTGAAGAGGCATTTTCAAGAAATCATCTTCAAATAGAATCTTGCTGTTATAGTTTTATCTATTATATTCTAGGAAAATCTGTGTTAAATATTTTAGATGTTTCTTTCTTACAACTGGTTTGCCCCTGAAATGCAAGGATCATGAATCACCTCTAAAAACCAGAGGGAAAGGGTGGATATAAATGTTGTCATTATTGTCAACATTGGACATGTGGATTTAGGCAGATGCGCCATCATTGGCTATCTGATCCACAAGTGTGGTGGTGACACAGGAGAAATATAACTCTCAACCTGCTAGATGTCAGATGTGCCGAGTTCATGTCCCTTGAAAGTGAAGATTGAATTCCAGAGGACAAAGGAGGTTTAGAGTAGGAAATGTTTATTTGGGGATAAGAATAACTCCAGAGGAACAGGAGGAGTCCCAAGTGGGTTGCCACTGAGTTCATCTCTCTTAGAATATTTTATAGGGCAAAATCATGAGTTGAGGTAAATCAACCAGTAATATTACAAGCATAGACACTTAGATAACATTAATTCAATGGGGACCTGGGGGGTGTAGCAAAGTATGTGGATGACATCAATAACCTTGGCTTATCCATGACTTCTAAAACAGGAACCTTTTGGGGAATGGATAATCTGGGTGGTGTTTTGGTGAACCACTTATGTGTACGATGCATACTTGGGCTTAGTGGACTGAGTGGTACCAGTTACTGTATAATTCTAAATTTGCATGCATCCCTTAGGGAAGAATGTAAATCTGGCCACTGCATTTAATCTCAAGAACTTGTCTTCTTCAGATGCACCTGCACGACACAAGTCTGATGTGTCCACTTTTTACTAATTTTCTTGAGAGCCTAGTCCCTTTTTGACTGTATTTTTTAACTTTTCTGTAACTTAGATTCCTATAATAGTAGGATTGATATAAAATTCAATGGAAAACTTGAGGAGGGTGCTGAGATGAAAGAGGGCTCCTTCAAGAATGCCTGCACCTTGGATGAACTGAAATTTGAGCTTGTAACTGGAACCGCCACTGATGACTCACTTTAGAAATTTGAGAAAAGAATGTAGTTTGGGTGATATTGGATAAGATTCAGAGGACTGATATTTGTTTATCTCTTTGGAGAGAAGCCATCTCTTGTTTTTGTTTTCTTTTGTCTCTCTCTTCTTATAACCAACTTTATGTTTTTTTTTTTGAGCCTTGGTATCGCCTAGGAGCCCTCTGTCTGACATACTAACTGACTAGACAGATTACAGCACAGATTCTATGGCAAAAAGGAAGCTGATATATGATTCTAACACTGCACCACCTAAGTATGTGTTAGATTCTGTTGAAGTTGGTACCATGATGGCTTCTTAAACTATCACACTATATTACAATTGGAATTTTTTAATCAATGTCACGTGGATGAAGTGAAATTCTTGATACACAAGGTTTCCTGTTATTGCATAATGAGGAATGTGAGAATGAGAAATCTAAATTCGGGGGAGGGATAGTTTACCCCCCTCTTAAAAGTAACATTCAAAAGAAAAACAAAATTGAGAAAAATTAACATTTTAATTGTTCCCAGTAATTGCAGAGGCCAAAGGACCCTCAGATCCCACAGACTATGAAGAGGCCAGTACAGCAGTGTCTTCCTCACCCTATGAATATGAGGCAGGTGTTATAGCTTATGTCTAAATGACCCCTAAAAGCCTCACGGGGATATAGGTGGGGCTTTTCAGAGGTGACTGGATATAAAATGCATGATGCTGGGATCAAGGGTGTGTGATTGCTAAATTAGACCACTGAATGGTTTGCCATAGTTCTGGCTGTGGATAGTGGGAAGGCCCAACCTGGATGTGAGTACAGGACATATAGCCTGGATGGAATACAAGGGGCAGAAAAAGGGCTGCTGTCATCACCTGGTGCTGCTTCCTTGATACCTTGCTACTTGCTGCCTTCTGCCTGCCATGAACTGTTTCTCCTTTGTGAACTGTTTCTCCTCTGCCATGCTGTCCTGCCGTGGAGCCAGCTGACTATGTACTGAAACTTCCACAAACTGTGAGCTAGAATAAATGTTTCCTCCTTTAACTTTCAGGGTTGGGTATTTTATCTCAGCAATAAGAAAAGTAATGAAAACAGAATTTGGTACCAAAGTAGTGAGGTTGTTGCTATGACTGTGGTTCAGGAATCTTTCAAACTGGCTTGAGGGAAGAATTTGGAAAGTCAAAATTCCTCCTCAGTGATGAGCCATTCAGGTCATTGCCACATGGCTAAACTTCATCTATCAATTAATTATTTGCAGCATAATCAATCTATGAATTAGGATTTGAAGTTTTGCTGACAGAAATTCAAATCAGATGAATCCAAATTATGCTTAGATTAGACAAAGCAAAAAATCTCCAAAACTTTGAAAGGGAATATGATGTCTTCATTTGCATGTTAGCAAATGAAAATTCAGCTTCTCTCAACACCTGCTGTGAAGGATTCCAAACGATACATAGTATATGCCCTGGAATTATTTTGAGCCAATTTGGAAGTGAAATATGTTTTACATAAACTCTACTGAACTGAAACTTTGGCATACATTAGTGTTTTCCTAATTTATAGTGGCTACTGAGTGAAAAAAAATCAAGAACTTTATGGGCAACCAGAAAAATGATATTGGTAGAACTTTAGTGTGAAAAATTTAAGTACTAACCAATAATGAGAGCCTTGCTTTCCCCCTTAGTATTACAAATTTATTATCAATCATTAATTTCATCTCTAGTGATCAAACTCTCACTCTTCTGGACATCTCCAAAATTGATTGGCTTTGAGAAGATTAATACATTGCTATTCAAGAGTGATAGATGCAGCTTTATGTATTAGTCAAGAATTATTTTTATTGTTGACCAGACAGTATTCAAATGTGTTTTATTTGATTTGCTTTTAGACTCAGCTTTTTAAAATTTGCTTCAGGGAGTATAATTGCTTACAACTTATATTTTATGACCTGAAGAAGAGTCAGGAGTTATCATCCCGGTGATACTAAGTTTACTGGTAAATTTGTAACTGCCACTGAAAAATGGAACTTTAAAAGTTAGATTTTTTTCTTTTAGAAATAAGCAACCTCTCCAGATTCTTCTAGTTGAGCATATAACGAATGTCCTCTTCTCCTCAGCCCCCAGTTAAGTGTCAGAATATGAAGAAGTTGACATCAGGAGGCCTGTAGCCCAGTTTCTTTTTCACAAGAAAGGAGACAATGAGTTAAAGATGGGTAGAAGTGATTAAAAAATGTGTAGAGGTTTACATTATATCTCTGTGCTCCACCTTCATTCCATTCCTTTTTATAAAAGACCCTTGATTACCTGTACATCAAGAGATGGTGATGGTGAAGCAAATAGGCCCCCCCATCTTCTCAGAGCTAGCCTTGAATAAATCCTTTCTTCTTTTTGTCAAAAGATATAGCCTCCTTCGATTTGGTCAGTGGTGAGCAAAGGAAACTGAGCAAAGGAACCTGAGGTTATGAACCTGAGTGGCAGGTAGCAATCTCACATAATCTCTTACTGAGAACATAGCTAAACAGTTCCACAGAGATGAACAATAGTTTATAGAAGTTTCAGTTCATTATTAAAATGCACCTGCCTATCTGATTCACATTGG